GGTGGGGGCACCCCCCCCCGAGCCCCGTGTGGGACCGCTCCGGCGTGGGTAGCACCCAGATAGGGTCACTCCGGAGCTTTGGGCTCCGTTGGGCTGATGGGGTGCGCGTGCCTCTGGGCTCCCCGGCTTGGATGCACCCAATCGGGCCAAGCCTGGAGGGGATGGCCAGATCCAGGCGGGTTGCACAGGGGTGCCCAGCTCACTGCCCAAAATCTGCCGGGGTTATTTTTCTTACTACTCCTGTTTCTCGTAATTTCAACTTGAAAGAACCTCCATGCTAGGGACCCAGCTCCCATTCGGCACTGTCCCAGTCCCTGAAATACCAGGGGAGGCCAAGCTTCTGCTCCGTGCTGGGACGTGGGTGGCCCATGCCACCAGGCGAGGAGGAAAATTTGAGAAGAGGGGAAAGCCAGTTGTCAGGTTTTCCTCAACTGTTTCCTGCACCCTTCATCTTCCATGCCTCTGGAAATAAAGGTTATTTTTCCTTTTGCCCCGCTCATCCTGCCTTCAGGCGTTCACTGCTCCACTGCGTCCCATCCAGCTTGCACATGTCCTCTGCCAGGGAGAAGGTCCCTACAGCTGGTTCCCGTCTTTTGTGGAGAGGGACCCTGAGTGGAAACCACCAGAGTCCTGGAGGCTGAAGGATTTGGAGAAGTAGAAGGTCCGGATGGGCTTGTAAGCTCCCTCCCTGCCAAAGCACCTGGACCCCAGGAATGCGACTTCCAGCCTCTGCTGTCCTTCACGTGGTTGGTGGCCATAGCAGGAGATCAGGCTTTGTGAGCATCTGGACCAGGTTGGTTCAACGCTGTGCCTTTCTGTTCAGCAGAGATGTCCCCAACCCAGAGAGATTTACTGAGATACCGTGTTTGGTTTGCTCTGAATGGACTGTGCCTTCAGTTGGATTCATGTCACCGGGCCCATGAACCAGCTTCAAAATGGCTTTTGATCATGCGTGAGGATTGCAGGGGAGTTTCAATTTCCAGGCTCTCGCCTCTCATCCTTCAGGTGGGAGTCGGCATCGAAGGCTGAGGGCATGATGGATGCACCCACCCTGTCTTGCTTGATATGCACTGAGACACACCTGGAAGGGCAGATGTTGGGACAATGCTGTCTATGCTAAAATTTGGCTCGTCTCCTTTCCGTTCTGCACTAGCAGACTTGAAATAGCCAATAATCACATCATATCTTTGTGGTCCAGCAGCCAACCTAGCGTTGATGGCTTGCATCAGAAGCTCAAGGAAGAGCACTCCCACCCATGTCCTCAACACCCACCCAGGCAACACACCGTCAAAGGCTCTACAGATGAAAGATGAAGCAGAGGAGTTAATTGCAAAACTGACTGTTGACTCCTCTGAGCTTTTGTAGCATTTACCTGCAGGAGCAGGGCTGTGCAGGCAGTATGGGGCTAGAAAGATCCCTCCAAGTCTAGGAGCCACCAGGTTGATGGCCACACTAGGGTTACAGTCATCTGGCTGAGAAGCTGGCTTTTAGTCTGGAGTAACCAAAAGGTAGGGAATGTTGGGCTCACTCGTACTTCTCCCACCTCCAAGCTGTTGTCTAGGCATGGGTCTTTACCCAGAAGGGATGAGATGGTAGTTTTGTCCCTGATGTATGACACCAAAGTAGCAATGAGCCACATGGGCACACCAGAGGACTCTGCGTTTAAGAGATGTTTTGCAGATGTTTTCCCCTTGTTCCGTGAGGTATGTACCATATCCTGGTGGTCATTCTTATCACAAGAATGATCAGGGGGCTGGAACACCTCTCCTATGAGGACAGGCTGAGAGAGTTGGGGTTGTCCGGCCTGGAGAAGAAAAGGCTTCAGGGAGACCTTATTGCAGCCTTTCAATACTTAAAGGGGCTTATAAAAAAGATGGGGACAGACATTTTTAGCAGGGCCTGTTGCGACAGGACAAGGGGGAATGGCTTTAAACTAAAGGGGGGGGTAGATTCAGACTTTAGAGGTCCCTTCCCACCCAAGCCATTCTATGGTTCTATGATAATGTAAAGAGGAAAAATGATCCAGCAGAGCTGAGAGGCTGGCTGTGGAGGTGTCCCCATGATGGGCGCAGTGCTGGTGGGCTGTTATATCACTTGCAAGGTGCAGCGAGGGCCAGCTGGGCCTGGGATATCCTCCACACACCCCACTTTACACCTTGTCCTACGTGACTACCCCTGGCCATGGCTGGAGACATGTTGAGCTGGCTGGCCCTTCAGCTGGACATGGCTTTCCAGGTTGAATGTTACAGTGATCGTCTGGAGAATAAGCTGAAACACCTCGCGGAGCATTTTATTTTATGGGATCTTTACTTGCATTCATCTGCCAAAAATAAAAGACCAGGCGATGCTGTTCGCAGTAAGAAAGCTGGGAAATAATCAGCAAAACTATGGCTTTTCAATACTATGGCAGCTTTAGCTAAAATGTTCCAGTCTTCACCTCCTGCTGAGCTAATTTTAGCCCTCATTCAATGCAAAAAGAAAAAGAAAAGAAAAAAGAACGCGACAGAAGGATGCTGAGCACCAGCTCATATGTGTCCCCATTCACCCAGCGCTTCTTCAGCTCTAGGGCTGGTAGATGCAGGGTGGGAAGAAGTGTGAAGGTTAAAATAGAGATTGGAGGTTAAAGCGAGGAAGAACTTCCCCTTGGCTGGGGTTTGCCGATGCTGTAAATCCATCTTTAGGGCTCAGAAAAGCTGCAGCCAGATACAGCAAAGTGCTGACCCGGTGTAGACCCGGAGTAAACCCGGTCCGATGCGGTCCTGCTGTCTGGCTGGAGACTTCGTCTGGTTGTACCGCTCTCACTGTACCTGGGTCCCTCTGCAGCTGGCGCGAAGCCAGGCTTAAACACACACGCTTGCATAAACCCCGAGTGCTGGAGGTAATTCGTCAGAAATGCAGTTATGTGGCCGCTCTTGATCTGGTCAAATTTGGATGATCCAGCAATGGCCGGATTAAGGAGCAGAACCACAGCCCCGACCTGCCCTTGGGCGGAGGAGCTGTGGGTGAGGGCAGAGCTGGCTCCTTCCCAAATGAAGACGCGGATATCCACCCTCCACGTCCCTCCTGGCCAGCAACATGATGTCCTGCTTGCTCCGTGCCCGCAGTACCTAAATTCAGGCACCTCCCCAGGTATGAGCACCCCCAGCTCCATGGACGTCCATGGACATCTTCCAACACAGCACTGGTGGCCCTGGGACCTCACGTATCATCATGCTCTGTACGGCTTAGCTGTGGTTTGCACTCTTCCCTCCTTGGAAATCACCTTACAGAAATCTCATTCACTTAAGAGGCTCAGACATTAGCTGGTTGAGACAGTCTGAAGTCCTGATTTCCCCGTGGCCGGCGGGACGTGCCTCCCTCCTCTCTGCCTTATAAAAGGATTTCTCTGGAAATTTGTTCTAGTTAACTGTACTCTTGCTTTGGACCACGGCTCCAGCATAATCAGTGCTGAATCTTCTAATCATATACTGCAACACAGTAAATTACAGCACGGTTGGGCTTTTTTTTCCCAATGTTGCCGAGCGGTAATTGAAGAGTGCAACAAAGAAGGGTCAAACGATGTAATTTTTTGCTGCTAAATCATAGGTGAAATAAGCTCAAAGTGTCAGCTGCTGATAAAAGATAGTGTCTATAATGGCTGAGGTACTGCAAGGGAAGGAGGTACAACTCCACCATCTTGAGATCATCGTTTTCCACATGGGAAAACCATTTGCAAAAGGATTTCCACTGGGATCGTGGTGCAGAGCCATGATCCCAGTCTCACTTAGGTGATGCTCAGCATCTGACTCGTTCCCCATCCGCCCCAAGGCATCTGTGGGCTCTTGTCTTGCAGGTTGTTTGCAAGCCCAT